GCAGTGCTACGGAATACAAGTTATATGCAAATAAATCTAAATGTGCTTCCTGCAGAATCAAGCAAAAAATATGGGACACGTCATTTCGCAGCACGAGGTTGAAACAAACCCCAAGAAAATTAAGGCTGTGGTCAATTGGCCAACCCCACAAACTCTCAAATCTCTCAGGGGATTTTTGGCCTTAACTGGCTATTATCACAAATTTATTAAGTAATACGGGGTTATGGCCAAACCCCTCACAAACCTATTAAAGAAGAAGCATTTCAGTGGAACCCTGTAGCTGAACAAGTCTTCCATCTGCTAAAAAGAGATATGACTTCTAGCTTGTATTGTGGTTTACAAAATTTGGGAATCTAATTCATTATAAGAACCGATGTGAGCGATAAAGGAATTTGAGCTATCTTCCAATAGCCTTTATAACCAAAGCCTTGAATCCCCAGAATCAATCCAAGAGTTTCTTCTGTGCAGTCGGCTGAAGACGCCATTACTTGGAAGGAGTTCCTTTTATTATTCAGATAGATCGGCGTAGTCTCAAGTACCTACTTGATCAAAGAGTGTCTTCTATGGCCGAATAGAGAGGCATTAAGAAATTATTAGGGTTAAATTACCTCAGCTAATATAAGCAAGGGACCACAAATACAGTTGCAGATGCCTTATCCAGAAGGAAACATTGGGATCATTCAACAGAAGTTCTTTACGCTGTCACCGCTACCATCCCTGTTTGGACATGTGAGGTATCCAAAGGTTATGAAGGTGACTCTTTTGTAAAACAACTCATCAAAGAACTCTTGATTTTCACGCAAAGCAAACCACCCTTCCATCTCTCCAATGGACTATTACAATACAAAGGGAGGTTAGTCATGGGCAACAGTAAAGGACTACGACATCATCTCCTTTATCAATTCGACAATATTCCTATAGAAGCTCATTCGGGCATCAAGGCCACCTATGCACAAGCCAAGCAACACTTTTATTGGCTCGATATGAAGAAACTAGTTACTTAGTTGGTGTAATAGTGTGACATTTGCCAACACCGTAAGGATGAAATAGTGCCCATCCCAGGACTCTTACATCCAGTACCTATACCATCCTAAGCTTGGACTCACATACGATGGATTTTATCGAACAACTGCCCAAGTCAGAGAATAAAAATACTATTTTGGTGGTAATAGACCAGTTCACGAAGTACGACCATTTTATTCCTTTACAACATCCTTTTATGGCTCAGGGGTAGCCCGACCTTTCATGGAGACTGTTGACAAGTTGCATGAAGTAATGCAGGTCATGGTATCAAATAGGGATTCCTTGTTCACTAGTCTCTTTTAGAAAGAACTAATGAAAGCAGTTGGAACCAGCTGTCATTCAGCACT